AACCGCTAATACAATCTGCTGTACCCTGCTGTACATTTAGCAGATTTTGACAAGAATAATGAGTTTTCTCTTTGATTCCAATGTGTAATGATGGTTTACAAAAAAAAAATTCATAGCAGTTGGCTATGAAAATACTTGAGAGGATACCCTTGACTGAGCCAAAGAGCTTAACACAAATTTAAACAATATTCATGCCCCAAAAAACAGTCATTAACCTCACCCTAATTTTAATGCAATTCACACTTTAGCTAAATACCTTGGCAGTTGTTTTGTGTTGTGTTTGGGAACAAAACAGAGGGAAAGGGTAACACTGGAAAGGGAGGAGGGGTCGGTAAAGAAATGTAAGTCATGCAAAGTTTGCAGAGTAAAGAGCCTCTTCAACCATATTTATTAACTCAGCAACTTAAGGTTTTTGCACTAAGCAGCTAAGCTACCATGACAGGACATCTCCTTTTTGCAGTACTCAGTCATACACTCTGATCCACAAAATCGTGCCTGGACTTTGTATGGTCCCTCCTTTGTCAATTTAGTGTAGGATCAAAAAATATCATTCATGGCTCAGCCCACTTGGCTTCCCACGTCACTGGTAATAGACTAAGCTGGCAATGAAAGAAGCTACATTTTACGGAGAGAACAGCTGTGCAGACAATATTAGTCAAAGAGTGGGAATTAAAGTACTCCTTTCTTTCCCATATCTTAGAATAGAAGCAGGAACATATAACCCAAAATAATCAATGGTTTTGAAAATGAGTTCTTCAAAAGTATTCAGATGAAGGCAATATTTCTCACCAAACAAGGGGCTCATATACCAACCTTTTATTGAACAAAGGATTGAAGAGAAAATTATCAAAAAGGTGGACATTCTGGTGACTACCTTCCTTGTCACTAACACGCTTATTGTGGCTGTATATACCAGTCCCCAAAAAGGTGTGAATGCCTTCCCTCGTGATTAATTTTCTTTCTACATACGTGTTTAATAAAGGGCATGGGGATCTCATGAACAAGCAAGATTAGCAGTTCTGTTCTCATAAAAACTTGTCATTTTTGTACCAGGCTCATGACTATTCTCTAATAAATGTTTAACTTCCTCCCTGCATATTTTTTTTGGGGGGGAGGTGGTTCTGGGCTTGGAGGATGGTATTGTATCCTCAAGAGAAGGACAGGACCTGTTACCCTATAGAATAATGTGTAACTGCTTTCAGAAAGTAGTATAATTCCTTTAAAAAGTTACATTTAGCCCTGGCCAGGTAGCTCAGTTGATTAGAGCAGTATCCTAATACGCCAAGGGTGCGAGAATCCCATTAGGGCACATACAAGTATCAACTAGTGAATGCATAAATAAGTGGAACAACAAATTTACAGTCTCTCTTCGCTTGCCCCCCTTTTAAAAAAAGTTACATTTACAACTAAAAGAATGTAATTATTTTCCAAATGGAAGGATGATGCTACTATTTTAAAATGTCAGGAGAGGGTTTCTATTATATAAGAAAGTACTGGGGCATGTGGCTATAAACATAAGACCTTAACTTTCATACATGGGTTTCCATTCTAAACTCTTTGGAACATGTTTAAAAAATCAGCCTGTCCACCAAATACAATTTTAACCTTATCTTCAACCAACATAACCAGAATTATTGGCATCAAACTAATGGCCATGGCTCTTATTCCTGTTTACTTCAGTATGATCGAGAGTGGAAAGAACAACTCTTAGGTCTGGGCTCCCTATACTTTAATAACAGAAAAAAAATATTACTCATTAGACATTTTAAAATATACTAAGGAGTATCCCAGGCCAATAAATAGATACGACCATCATCATTTATGAGTCAGGAAGCATCACAGGCTACCCTCTTGCCATGGCACTATCATTAACCCACATTATATAACTGAACATAACTCATGTAAAAAATGAGTAAAATAAATTATTGTTTGAAATTCTATGTTTTCTAGTTTTAACTGAGCTATATAAATCTTGGTATTTCACCAGTTTAACTCAAAAATATCCTTTAAATAAAATCAAATCTAGTATAGTTATTCATTCAATCTTTAAAAGGCTGCTCTATACCAAACCAATATAGTGTGTAAATATAGAACTTAATTAAAATACTATATATAAAATGTTAACAGCTGCAGTTATTAAAATTACATTAAACTCCCTTGAGCTTGGCCAACATAATATGGGCTCTTTTTTTTTCTTTTCAATTTAGTAAAGGGCACAACTTGGTTTGGTGCATAAGCTATGGTTTTTATATTGTTTGTTCCAATTTCCTAATCTGAAACTGTAATCACATAAAATTACTGTGCCATGAAAACACCACCAAGCATAGTAACTTAATTTTTCTATTGGATTCCAACAAAAATATCATGTTTAATTTGTTTTCTTTCTTAACATTCTTTTAAGACATCTCTTTTTTCTTCCCATCTGGCATTGAACTTTGAAAATTAAAGTAGACATTCCTTGCTCTCACCTTTTGTAATGAGAATATAAAGAGGACAGTTAATAAACTATTGGTAATTTGAATGTTAAAGACCTTGAACAGAAAAAGTAGATTTTATTCTGCTTGCAGATTAAGGTATATGCCTGATCCTTATTATAACACGTTAACCACAGAACTTGGGGACACTAATTAGATTGCATTATCACGTAAGACTGGAAAGTCAGATGGTTTCTAGACTTGTGGTGATCACTTTGTAAGGTACATAAACTTAAATCACCATGTTTTCCATTTGAAACTAATATAATATTGTATATCAATTATAATTTTAAAAAAATGAAATAAATATCTATATATAAATCATCATTACCAAATACATAATGGGTTGTTTTATTTTTCTTTTTATATTCTTTTGCACTTCTTAAAATTTTGGAATTAATCATGTATTTCTTCATATAATTAGATAATACCTTATCTCTAGGTGAATGAAATATAATTGATCTGAAGTGTGGTATCTTTTTGCCTTTCTGATCTGCTACAAGATGTCTACTTAATCTGATCAGTTGCAATTTATTTAGATTGTAATAAAGTCTGACTAAAACATACATATTCTCAAAAACCAATTTCAAATTTTATTCTAGATGCACTTTAAGTCAAACTATAATATCCACAATTTAGTTTTCCAAAACATGAGATTAGTCCATGTTCCCATTGTCTTTCTTCCATCTTCTGTTTAAAAAGCTCCTGAGCAGCAAATTAACTGCTAACTCTAGTAGAAACAGACTGAGGGGAATACCCTATTGCTATATAGTTGTACTAATGTACTCTTCTCAGCTTAAATCAGAAAAACAAAGAGGAATCCAGTTCCTAATGGAATCTGTAAGGTAGAGCAGACAACAAAAATATTTTGCTGGCTACTCTCAATCATCTAAGACGCTGAAAAAAAAAAATGATACCACAGCACAAATTGCACAGAATGGTAACTAACTATTCTTGTGGACTTCCTTAGGGAAATGAAAGAACACCAGTATTTCCAGAGAGTGAGGAATCAGAAAGACAGTGTCTGAGATACTTGGGGATCAGAGCAATGGATTCTAACCTTCCTTCAATTCTCTTCCTTCACTCCCGGCTCTCTCCTAATTTTCATATATTTGATTTCTTTATTGGGGAAAAAAGATATTTCTAGGAAGGTAAACACAATGTTCTTGATTGGTAAATAGGAAAATAAGCCATAAATAATAGTGAAATCAGAAGCTCTCCTGTTGCAGTGGAGTAAACACTTGACAATGGAGTCTAGGATGGGGTGTGAAAAGGGAAGGTCAGCCCCAGGACTTCGGCATGGCCCTTCCCAGATAGGATCCTAAGCACAGATCACTGGACCTGAAAGAAGCACTAAGAGTCTTCAGTTTGTGGTCCTCAAGTTTGGCTGATCATCAAGTTCTTGGAAAGCTTTGCAAAAATATGGAATCCTAGGCCCCATAGCTGTTGATGGCACTTCACTGGGTTGGAATCCTGTGAAACGCTCCTTACCAGTATGTTTTACAAAGCAAAAAATTCAGCTCCCCTCACTCCTGCCCCACCAAATGCCTTGGCCAAGTTTCTACTGCTATTTAGTGGAAAATACCAGAGTGGATGGTATAGTATATATGCAAATGAGAGAGATGGGGAGGGAGAGGAGGAGAGTAGCCAGATCTAAATTCAATTGTCTTTTATTATAAGAACATATTTTGACTTGTAAGTGAAGACGCAGTTAGAGTATGGGAGCATAAAGTGAAGAAATTTTTTAAAAAATATATAACTGCATATGTAAAAACAAATTGCCTCTCCCTCCACCATTCCCCTCTCTCATCTTTCACAAATGCCATGATTCTTACCCCTTCAAACCCAATGCTATTCATCTTCTTATGCCCCCCAATCTACTCCAAAATTTCAGAGTAAAGAAATGCTATTCCTTTAGGCCTTCCCTCTAAGCCCCTTCCTTTCCCTGCCACACAAACACACCTTCAGAGAAAAGGTGCAGCAAATAGAAACCGGAGGAATGAATCCCTGTTAGTAGAATTCCAAACATCCTTCACTAGGAAAGAAAGCTATTTGGAAGGCAGACAGTTTGCCGGGGTACTTGAAACCCAACAGTATTGATAAAGTGTTGTGGATACCCTAGATCCAACTTGGATAAAAAACATGCTGTATTAAACTAAGTATTTTATGTGTGGATCATTATATTTTTTCCATATTTTATACTTGTCCTTCTAGGTACCTCCAAATATCCAATAATATAATAGACAATTGGTAATGCCAGAACACTAAATTTTGTCATTGTAAATTTAAGATAAAATTTCTTGCAAGATTTGGCACTTGATTATCCAATAAATATTCATTTAAGAAGCCATTTGAGCATTTGGATTTTGATGCCCAACTATGATGATTAATTAACAGATAATTTCCCTTACCTTACAGACAGGAATGCAAAAGTCTTAAGTATGTCTTGGTTTTAATGCCTGAAGAATGGGAAAGGGTAGAGGGTGTGTTCCAGCAGAGAGACAACATAGGAAATAGATCAATTACCTGACCGGCCGTCTCTCTGGAAGTCCACATGATACCATTCTCCATCATTCACCTTCTTCTGCAGGGCTCTGATTTTTATTGTACCTGACCCCATGTCCAGGAGGAGGTAGAGGTGGCCATCCAGCATCTCAATAGCAAAGAAGTCAACCTTTATCATCTGTGGGTGCTTGGCATCTTTTTGGTGTCGTGGCTTGCCGTGGCTAAATAAGATGAGTCCATTTGGCTCTGTTGTGCGGAAATCAAATGATATGGAGCCTGTTTTCTTTGCATTCCATTTAGGCAAAGAGATGAAAGACTCTGGGGTTTCAAAGGTGATTGGGTCCAAAGTTGCAACATTCTCACATTTAAATGCCACTACTCCATGGATCTTCATCTTAGGGTCCCCTTGCTTGGCGAGTCGAGATAATTCCAGCCTTACATCATTGTTTTTATACACAACCTGTAGGCAGAGGACAGCAGTGAGAAACCAGGCTCATATTTTAACACTTAGAACTTGTGATCACTTCATGTAATGGCAAGAAGAGCATGAAAAGACACACAATGTTTAGTGCCTTTTGGTGTTTAAGACAGTTTTTTTTTTTCAGTCAAATAAAATTCAAGTATCAATTCATTGAGCAGTAACCATTCCAATCTAATATCATTCAAATAATTTGTGCACACACACAAACTGCCTGTAGTTAACTCAAATAACTTGAATAAATCTGCAGAGAGCTTTTATTTGAAGTATATGTAGACTTGAACTTATAAAAGCCATTTGCTTTCATTAGTTGGCTATTATACTTTATTTATTAAATACAAGTATTGAGGGTTGTTGATTTTCTCATCACTAAAGTATGTGAAATCAGATACCTTTGTATAGCAGTCCTCTAAAATACAGGATCTTTTCTATGGTCTTTAGATCCATGGTAACATACGGGGTGGGGCAGAGGGGGTTACAACTGTGAGTACATGAAACAGACTTTATTCTTGTTTTATCATTTATTAATCATTATGTTATTTTCCAAGTAAACTGCTATAAACCTATTCTTGCTCCACCCTGTATATATTATTTATAAGATAGTTAAAATTTGAGGTAGAAAACATCCTACATTTTCTCAGAAAAATCATAAACTAGAATTAAGATGCAGAAGCTTTCTCTTGCCCTATCCTACATTAATAATGGTTTGAATAATGTAATGTAACTCCGGAATAGGGTGTTTATTCTAAATCCACTCAGCCTGTATTACTAGAGTTCCCTTTCACTTTGCATATAAACAGGTCTGAAACAAAATTTGTCTTATATCTCATTTTCTAAAGCATTTCACCTAAAGTGTGGGTGGCTCTGATTGTTGGTCTTAGGGTTCCTTTGAACTCCGAACAGTACATTGAACAAATCCACTGGCAGTCCTCATAGCATCATGCATCAGCTGTCACATCCCTTTATTCAATTTGCAGCTATTTTGATATAAGGATAAAGAGAGATTCACACCCTTTCTCTACAATGCGTATAGGGATAATTACATTTCAAGAAAATGTAGGTTATATTAACAGAGATAAATTAGTTAACTATGTCCAGATAACTATCAAAATTCTTTTAAGAGGGCACTCAAAATTTCACAGTGAATAATGCTGTCAGGTTCTAAATGCATTTATCCACATGTAAAAGTATATTTCTATAACAAGAAAAGGAAGAAAGCCTAAGTCCAATTAGTGCTATAAAGTTAACCAGGTCAACACAGTAGTTAATTCTTCCAAACTCAAGGCCAGTTGAGCCAAGAGGTCATGCTGTTAGAGTTTCCTGATATGATTTGTTAATGGATACTTTAATTTTCAGAGAGATTAAGAGTGTATGCTCTGGTATTAACTCCCTAAATTCAAATTCCAGCTCTAGCTTTACCCAATTGAATGATCTCTAAGTCTTCTCTCTGCTTTTTCAGGAGATAATACCTTATAGGATAGTTATAATAATTAAAGAAGAAAATACATGTAAGTCAAAAAAATCTACATAAAGGCTATCAGTTAAATGTCAGGTACATGGTAAGAGTATCAACTGCTTCAAACCACAATATAATAAATATAATCAATCCTTTAGTAAGCAGACACACAGATACTAGTTCTAAATTAATCCATTATAAGGAAATATTTAGAAATTAGGCACACTCATATAATTATCATATACTTGATTTGTGCCAACTAAATAAGTCACATATTTCAAATGCTAGTGTTTCAATTTATCTTTATCTTGAGGAAGGATTATGATAAAGAATATCATATCCCTTATTCTTTGAACAAATATGTATTATAATGGTTTAATAAGCATCTATTGACAACAAAAGAAGAGAAAATGAACCTGAGAAATAACAAAAAGGAATTAGATTAAATCTTAACTATATTTCCTTGAAAAAAGAAAGAGCTATTAAGCCTTCGGGAAGTTAATTCAGAACTGCCTTTCTTCGGCATCTTTAGAAATGGAGAAAATGCTTTCCAGAGATGATTCCCATCTTTTATAACCTGTCAGCATAATGTTCAAGCTATCCCAAATTATTTTTCATTTTTACTTGTGATTTATATTTTAATATTTGGAAATTCTTATGACATAGATATTGGTTAGGAATGAATATGTCCTAACCCAAATGATAAGGATGATAATGCTTATCAGCGCTAACACATTGCCTGTGCAATAGAACCACATCGATGGGTTGGGTATTTCTGGCATGACCAAGTGGGTATCAGGGTGGGTATATTGCCACATGAGTCCCACACCAGTTACCAAAAAGCTGAAAGATGTGGGGTTGGGGCAAATCTAGGTTTGGATTTCACTGAGAGAGTTGTAATGCCATGAGAGAACTGGGTGCCCCGGTGATAGGAAGGTCCAGGGAGATGGAGAACAAACAGGGGGGTTCCCTTGATCCTATTGCTTGGTGTTAGCCATGCACTGTCCCTCCACCCACACCCCAAAAAGAAAATTAATCTTCACCATATTCTATGCTTTGTGTAGGCAGGGACCCTGCTCACTACAGTCCAGCACCAAGATCAGTGCACCTGACACAGAGTGGGCACACAATAAACATTTGGGGAGAGGTGAATAAAATTCTTCCTTTACTTTTATTGAATCTTGTTACTAGATATAGACTATTATCAATATTTACAAATATAGATAAAATACAACAGAATGTGGTACTGTTGATCAATATCATAACCTAGCTACCATTATCAGCCTACTTCTCTAGGAAAATGGAGAAACTCCAGTGAACATTCAGTTATAAATGGAAAGCTGGCCTATGTATTAAAAAATTTCACCGTCAAACTCATTTTGTAGGGTGTAAATTACTTTTACAGTGAAAAACATCAGAGTTAAAATTCTCCAGAGGTTGAATCATTTTCCTAGAAGAACTATCTTGAGGAGAAATACAATGTATTTTTTCCCCTTCTCATTTTGTATTCTTTGAAAGGGAACTCTAGAAGACAGAAAAGCAATTTTGTACAGACAGGCTGATAGCTCTCAGCTCTCCACTATTACTTCATGTGACCCAGATTTCACAATCACCCTACTTTTCTAAAGCTACACTTATCTTAAAATGACCTGGATATACTTCAATTATAATAATAAGGAGTATCCGGTAACCACTCCAAATCTTCTAAAAATTCTCTTTTCTGCTTCTGTCTGATACATTGTTTCTCAATCATTTATGATTATTCATATATCTTTTTTCCTATTTACATCAAAAGTTGTAATTTATTTAATAGTTTCAACCTTCAACAAATCTCTAATACTCTAGCATCTTAACAACTGTGATTATATTAGTGTATACTAATTTGGATTTGTTAGAGAATCCAGGTATTTGTTCTTAAATATTGATTTTTTTAAGGGTAATTAAAAATGTTAAATTTCATGAGCTTTTATCATAAGTCCCAAAAGAATAAAAATATATCTAAAAGAGATCTTAGGTTTTTCTGCCATTTATTTGCTATTTGCTTTTTTTCTTTCTTTCTTTTTTTTTTTTTTTTTTTTTTGACGGGGGGTTGTTTTTGTTTAGCTACCATATAATTTCCACACACTGCTATATGGAATTTTTCCCTTTTCTCCAATGTTTATTAAAATTATAAAAATGCCCCTCACACTTAAATGTAGAAGATGAGGAGTAATATATTTTTGTTTTAGGCTTGAAATATGAAATAGACAGTCACTGAGTATTTTCTTTTATCCTGATATCAAAAGACAGGGGATATATACAGACTAAAGAACAGAAGTTTGATGTCTGGATATAGACTTAGCTTAATCAAAAAGTGATTACCTAAGTCAAGTTGCCTAACTTCACTACGTCTCAGTTTCTTAATTTCTAAAACAGACACCTAAAAAGAAAAGGCGTGTCCCATCCATTAATCCTTGCGTTCCCCCACCCCACCCCTCAAACTATGTGATTTAGGGCAGAAGTAAAAGATGATCTCTCGTTTCCTCTCTTTTTTCTGGTACTTTTTCCCGTTGAGGTTTCGATGTCAGGATAGTGTTCTCTGTTCTGAGATATATCAGAACACTAACCCCTGAGTAAAGAGAATGTTCCCTAGATCTTCAGGTACATATGCATACCTCAAGGATTGTATCTGTCAGAGGTTTGTACAGATGGTGTTGAACTGGTAGCTGATAGACAAGGTTCTTCCCATAGGAAGTGAAAGTGTGTGACAAAAACAGATCAGTAGGAAAACACTTGCCACTCAGGCGGCTTTTTTTATTGTTGTTACAAATATGTTTCCATTTAGAAATTTTAATGAGGACTTTGACTTAATTAAACGAATTAGCATACATTGATCAAGGCTTCTCGTACCTTAGCTTTGAGAATATGTGGAGTGGTGAAAAGAGCAGTGTTAACTGAGTCAAAGATCTACATAGAGATCTAGACTTTGTTACGACTCCCCTTGAGAAAACACAGATGACTCATTTGGATCCTTGGTTTTCTCTTCCATTCTTAGGAACAATAACAAGTGAGGACTAGGAATCTGGTTCTCAAGTCAGACCTCAGAGAGAATTCCAGCTCACCCGTTTCCAACCCTGTAACTTTGTGCAAGTTCTGCAACCTTGCAGGGGCCTAGTTTTATCTGTAAAGAGGAATAATGTTATCTACCACATTATGGTTATCATAAGAAATAAATTATATTTCAATTAAAGTGTTAAGAACAGGGCCTGGCACAGAGGAAGTGCTCAAGTAAACAGTAGTTGCTGTTAAACATGCTTTGGTATTTTCACAAATAACAATATCAATATTCTTACAGTGAATTAATGTACTTGTACAATAGAAATATTGTAACAAAGGTAACAGCTAACATGGCCCATAGTGGATAACTGGTTAACGTTTTAAAGTAATAGAGCAAGAGAGCCAAAGAGATCAAAGCAGACTGGGGATTCCTTGCACATCCTGATGTTTGTATTGTAGTTTGCAGTACACAGCAGCCTTTCTCTGTAGA